TGTAAATACCAACTTTCTCTCATCATCAAATTCATCAAAATTTGTGGTTATAATGATGTCCGAATTCTTTTCGGGCCTTTTTTCATTTTCCGCATTTCTTTCATTATCGTAATATGACCAATTATAATAATCAAATCGGCCTCCAATGACGGGACTACGTGATGAAGCTGTACTAAGACTCGACGATAAAAAACCTGTTTCCTTAGACATACCACCACCAAATGTAGATCTTCTTTGATGGCGCATGGAATGACCGGAAGAGGGAACTGTAATTGGCGCACCTGAACCTTCGGAATGCGCAAAGTAGTATGTTGACGGTGTGGATGTAGCCGAGTCCAATTGATGCATATGTGTACCCCAAGAAGAATTGTACGATTCACTGTTCATTTGTCCGAATGTAGTTGACATAGATTGATAACTAGAGCTAGTTTGAAAACCAGACATCTTTTCCGAATATGCTGCGGAATATCCTGCGTTATCACCGACTAATGAAAGTGGCAAGCCCTACGAATTAAGGAAACGACAGTTCCACAGCATTTAATAATTGTAAAAAAAAAATAAAAAAAATAGAGACATAAATTACCGTGGTATTTATCTGATATGGTTCAATGTGAAACGGTTCTCGAAAAACACATGACAACATTGCAACCATCTGGAAATCACCCAAGTTAATGAAATGCTGGAGTCTATGAAAAACAGAATGTGGTGGTTAAAGATTCGATGAAACAAACATAATTGAGCTTATGCAAAAAGTGAAAAACCTTACAGATCACGTGCGAGATCGCTTCCTAATGGGTGACGTCCCCAATTTAAGGCATCTGGCATATCCCAAATCTCTTCTCTGAAAGGCTCATGATCAACATCGTTCTTTCTTTTTTTATCTAATGATCTTGACTTCACCCAGAGTGTTGGAATTAGTTCGAGTAAACATGCATCCGCATAATTCCTTATACGGTTGGAAAGAATAAGTGAGGCAAGGTGCCAAGCTTGCTCTAAATCTGGACGGTTATGCTTTGCAGCTACTCGCGCATTGTATTCACAAATCTCGACAGCATCAT